AATATTATTATCAATTATATCGTTTATCATTTATTATCGTTATCATCGTAAACGTAGCGTGTGTCAACGATGCGTGCGCGCGAAATCGAACGACGATGCAGGCGAAATTACGCGATTTTGATCGCGCGTCACGCGATTCCATCCCTTTTCTTGTCTATTCTCAGTTTCTTATTTGTTTGTCCCTTGTGACGCGCTTTTGATTGTCTATAGTATACATTACATCTAGATTGCCCTCCCCTAATCTCTTTTTCATTCAATTCAACAACGTAACACATGCAAATAATTTATATTCTCATTTCATTCTCTGGACGTCGAACTTTAATCATAACAATAATTCGAACAATTGTACAGAAACTTATCATTCTACTTTCATGAAGTTCGTTATAAAATTAACTCAAGTTAAAAGGACAGAGGTATGGCCAGTCATTATTCCCACAATGCATTCCCATGTCATAATCTCATCATTCTTCCTCGTATAACATATTTATTGCGACACATTTAAGATACCTACGCTAGGAAGTATGTTTTTTAGCATTCGAGATCTGTTCGACTGTCGTAGAAAAAAAAATGAACGACAGTCGTTTTGATTACTTCTCGCTTTCACTCGAAAGGAAGTCTATCGCGCGAAATTCTCTATTAAATACGTATGTAATCTTATCCCACGCACTCTTACACATATGTATGTAGCGTTATACAAACGATTATGAACGATTACGTCTCGCATTGATGACAGCTTTTTATTTTATTTATCACACACAATTAACGCTTATTATTGCTTGCTCATTGCTCTGAATCACAGAGACTCGGCGCGGACGAGATAAGACATAAAAAGCTCCTGACATTTTTCTAAAGACGGACATTGCCTTGTTTTCCCGAAGGAAATCTAGAAATACGAAAAGAAAACAAGACGAGTTTACAGAAATCCTTCATCGAAATTATAAAAGTAATTCCTTACAAGGCAGGTTCATCCAGTTTGTCCTATCTTGTGTAAACGGATGATTTATATATTGTTTATTCAGTTGGGACAGGAAAAATGTAGGGAACGCAAGAGAAGGAAGACTTCGATCAGCTATTAAACTATATGAAAAATATCGGCCAATTTTTCCGCTTCTGGCTTAGCCGAGTTTTCCACGCTCGCATCATCGTGAGACAGTATTTCAACGGTGTACCCGGAGGAGAGTAGCCGGAAATAAAACTGTTCGACTCGACGAGGACGAGCGCAGCTGTGCACACAGCGAAATTGATCCACGCCTCCATCAATTCACCCTATCAAGATATTATTTCACTTCGACGCTTTACGCAATCCACCAGGTCAGCTTTCCGTAGAATTGAAGGCGCGAGCACTTGGCTTCGCCTGTTTTTTCTTTTCCTCCTCCTACTCCCAGCCGCACGAAGTTGAGTTTCGCCCGCGTTAATCCTCCCACCGTGATGCCACTAATTACCTGACAATTATTCGTATTGGGTGCCTGTCACGCTTATCGACTTGCTCTAATTATCGTCAGCTAATTATATCGGTAAAATAAAATAGCTGATGAGACGAAAGATGAGCTTTTACCTTTCCTCTGCAATATGATAAATATCAGTTTATAATTAAAAGTCTACTCTTGTCAGTGGAAATTCTGATTGTACATGGTATTTTGATCTTCATTATCTTTTATGATGGTAGTGTATACAGGGTGGTCTTTTATGTATATTCAATTCTGGTGTACTGCTGTTTAACTGAACGTCAAAGAAACGAGTGAGATGAACCCACTTTACCTCTGCTCTGCCAGCTCTCCTGTGCTGCCTTACATCCCCAAGAAGATAAAGAATAAAGCACTAATAGTTCAAAAGCGATGAAATCCCCGACTCTATTACCTGCGGATAATAAGCAGCCACAGAAATAGAAGCCATGGAGAGAAGAATAGGGATTATATATTCTTCGGCTTGTTACTTCTTTTTATATAGAACCACCCTTACAAATTTGGATTCTCTGAGATCATGATTGACGTAGATATGTATGGTGATTTATGTTAATGCGTTTATTTATAAAATTTGATATCACTTTGATTATTAAGATAATTATGAAGATATCTAATACTGTGAGAGGTTTGTTAAACTTGGATAATGATGTAACATGATAAGATTCATAAGAATGGGGAATATATTGAAAGACGACGTTCTAAAAAAAAGTGGCTTCGTTGTATTTAAAAATAAAGTTCAGAGTTCCTCGTGAAATGTTTAATAATAAATTTATGTATGGTGATTTATGTTAATGCGTTTATTTATAAAATTTGATATCACTTTGATTATTAAGATAATTATGAAGATATCTAATACTGTGAGAGGTTTGTTAAACTTGGATAATGATGTAACATGATAAGATTCATAAGAATGGGGAATATATTGAAAGACGACGTTCTAAAAAAAAGTGGCTTCGTTGTATTTAAAAATAAAGTTCAGAGTTCCTCGTGAAATGTTTAATAATAAATTTTAATAACATTGCGTTAGGGGAATAATTCTCTCATTTAGAAGTCGTAATTTCATTCTACAGTTCAATAAAGGAAAAAAGTGAATATGTAGAGAATTGACATTTAACTTCAAACGGAGGGAACTGAATATTGCGTAAAGGCTTGAATGGTAGGCACGAATTTATTAGAACTGTAGATAACTTTCTCATATGAAAATACTGCCCAAGTTGCTTTAACTAAACTGTGTATGCATACGTACGCAAATTTGTACGTTTCCTAAAGCTAATATTGTTACTGCAAACTCCTCACTTTTGATTGTGTTGCCCAACAACTTCAGTTACATCATATGTATAGCTATTCGCGGAGCGAGTATGTTAATAACTAATGGCAACAAGCCTTCTTTACAATCCTTTTAATATTATGAATTGATATAATAAATGGTTTATCTATTCACTTCATAGAATGTATTTTATCCGGTGAAAGTAGGTTTCAATTATGCGTTGATATGTATGTTTATGCATATATCTCCTTAGAACAACTGAAATGCAACANATTATACATATTAATGCTTAATGACACGCTGACTATAAACGCTTCTTTCCTCGTTTTTTTTTTTTCTTTTATTAACTAAGGGATCATTTTATATAAAAGAAACAGGGTCTCCTTGGCTATCGCTGATCGCGCTACTGAAACAACACAGGTATATTTACAATGAGCGTTGACTATTTACAATAAATGTCAGCACGGGAATTTTATCACAGAGAGAAACGATGAATAATTAAAGAAACAAGACGAAATCGATATACCGTGTGAAGAATTAAAAATTCTGAAAGTACGCAATAAATGATTAACGAAAGCATAAACCAATAATCGCAATTAACAACTAAAAATAGAATACTTGAATCGCGATTAGCTGCTCTTTCCTTAAATACACTACAAGCCGTGTTAGTTTTTAAATTAATTAATTAGGAATACTGATCACAGAGATTTAAATATCATGTTTCGTAATATCTGTGTATATTTTAATATCCGAGACGAACGTTCACTTGTGAAATTTTATAAAGAAGCGTAATTTATCTCGTTTCGTCTTTCTCTTACTAAAACCTTGTTACGCTTGCTTAATTTTTGATTTGCCAATAAATATACATTTAGTTTCACTATTATTATTACTAGCATATTGAACACTTCATTCAGTATTTAATTACATTGTAATATATGTATGTATAAAATGAAATCTTTGAGTCCTTCGGATTCCAATGTTGTTATTGCTTCAATATAGTAAAACAACTAAAAACCACCAATTGTATGACTAGAAGCTAAGTTAAACGCTTGCATTTCTCCAAAGGAATATCCAATAAGATCTAACATGCATTCTGCGGAGTAAAATTAAAATAATAAAAATAATAGCACAGTTCGCGTACGTATAAAAATAAAAATTTTTTCCAACTATTTAACGTAATTAACTCGATGAAACACGAGGTTCGTATATAATAAATAATAGAAGAAACATTGAACTAGCTATATGTAGTTACCTTCGTAGTTCGTATCACACTGCCTTCAGCCTAAGAAATAGCAGTTACACTTTCTTCGACGGAAGACTTTGTTTAACCGCAAACAAGAAGCAAAAGGAACCTTGTTCGTAGATTTCATAAAAAAAAAGAACGCGCTACCTATTTACATTGTCTTTAAAATCGTTTAACGACAGCCAATTTGAATAAAACGTAATGAAACATTTTCCACCGACGAAATAAATAACGATAATCGAAAGCACTCGTAACGATAGATAAAAATCGATTTAGAAATTAATGTGTACGCCGCGTCGCGATTTAAAAAGAAAAATCTACGTAACACCGTTGATATAAACTTTGGGAATATGTCATGTAACGTGTCATGTAATAACATTCTTGTGAGCAATAATACTAATTGAACTAACGATAATAAAAACTATCCACGCCGTGTTTGCCTGCGAACATTCCCTTTACTATTCACGAGAACGTATTTATTAAAATCAAGCCTCGAATCGAGCACCGAGCTATCAATCAAATTCGCGATTTCACTAGACGTTTGCTCCCACGTACCCAATATATCTCTGATCAAATAATCATCTCGTTTCACTTCTCTGTGCACAGAACGAGAAAAGGAAATTGGTAAACAATTTTGAGCATGTCGATGAATCAGCGACGTGGGCCACCCAATAGGATTGATATTGAAGAATTAAGAGGTAAAATTGGCAAATTGAACTATTCGCCCTCTTCCCAAAAATCTTCCCTTCATTCTTCGAAATAATCCCGATCGCGTTTTCTTTCACGTTTCTCGGCTTCGCTTAAATATACTATCTTTGGCAATGCGAACGTGACGTACGCGTTTCATTCGAGTCTCCATTCATCTGCGTGCATCTCTGTGATCGTTTTGCAAATGGTACGTGATTCCTACCGTGTGTCCCTGTATTCCCTGACCGCGAGTGCTCCCGGTTTCAACGGCCGTTTTTGTTCGTTAGAGCTTCCTCGTGCGAGAAATATCTGTGGCTTGTTCCCGTTTCGTTTGGCTGACGGATTTATTGAGAGGGGTTCGCGTATTAAAAATGATATTCGCGTTACGTGCGCGGGATACTAATTCTGATTTTCTGATTGTTAGAAATCTTATCCTATTAAGTGACAAACTCCGTGGTTCTGATAAAAAAGTTTCCGATGACTCTCGTCAAGTCTCTCTATGCGAACACCTCTTTTATAATTGAGCATGTATTAATATTGAATACTTCGATGGGCATGAGATGATGTTTCTGGAGGCTATTATCAATTTGCTGAATTGAAAACGCGTGTCTTGAAACCGTAAGCACGAGCGGCTGGATACGTTTGCAACGCGAGATTAACGTAACGACACGGTACACGTCCCTCGTGAGTTATTTTGTTTTTGGCTAGAGAAGAGTCTCTCGAGGCGGGCTACACGTTACTCGCATACTTACATACTTCAACGTACAATTACTCGACGATTTAATAATTGTTGCGTGTGTGTAGGCGACGGATGTATGTATTTTAAATTAGGTAGGCGTGTATATGTATTTATGCGTGTCTTTTTGTTTCTCTTTCAATGTTTGTTCGCACCATCGCGGATGCTGTTCATGGTACAAATCCGGCGATCCTCTCGTCTCAGAGGCTGCTACCGTACTCGCTCGATCTCCGCCGATCGACGTGCTTCATGTACGTCTCAGAGTATATGCTCTTAGTGCGGTCGTCGTACCTGGAAACACAAAACAGACAGTGGCACCAATACATTTGGCACCTACGACGCTCGTCACACACGTCCAACTAAAATACTATTTTGAAGTACCGTACGAACTTGGAAGATTCAAATTAGGCTCTTGCTTGGCAACCAATATTTTGTAACGATAAAATATATTCGTCTTGCTGATTTAAACTCTCGCAGAAATAAAGCAGAAAGCAATTGTACAATTGGAATCAAAATTTCCGCGGTATTCAAGCGGTAGACATTTAATTAACTTTACGACAACTAAGCGGGCCGTAAAACGCAATCCAAATAATACGTTTGCGTTACACGTTTATTCGCGCAGCTTCCGGGCAATTTATTTTGCGCCATAGCTGTTTTACGACCGAACTTTAAACCGTGGCGTCGGTTTAGGAACTAACGAGACGACGAAAAGCAAAAAGACAAAAACGGTGGATCTATAGTACTGTTATCCAAAATCTGTTCGAAATCAGATTTAGCTCAATTTTAACACAATTTAATAT